TTTTCAGAGTTCAGTACAGCAACGTGGGCTCTTCACACAGCTCTGCTTGACCATCACTACCATGACCTTGAACATTGGTTCGCTGTCACTGGTCTTGATGACTTTGTATCCCCATGTAGTTTTGAAGATGTATTTAGGTAAAATAGTTCCCAAAAAGGCACCTGCCCTTATGTTGAGCTGTTTCCCTTGCACATTGGGCTCTGTTTATAAAGAGAGAAAAAGGGGAGGGAGTAAGTACTGCAGGCTAATGAGCCCACCAGCACCCCCAGCATGGATAGTTGCTGCTAATTTAGTTGCCATGAGTACATTTCTGGAAGGTTGTCTATGTTGCAACCAAGTTACTTTTCACATCTGAATTTTCTTAGGGTGGTGCGGTTTTGAACACAATTCTTAAAGACCTCGTTAGAGAAGTGGGAGGTGTTCAAAGAGAAGGAGAATGTCCAAGGGGCATCTTTCTATTTGGATTCTTTTGTGTTTCATTTGTGACAGCTCTTACTTAAAGGCCCTTGCCCTGATCTGGAAGGGACCATGATCATCTCCACCTGCCTTTTTTTGTTTGTTTGTTTAACTTTCAGCTCCTCTGTGGCAATCTCATTTATTGGCATAGTGAAATGATGACTCTTCTCACAAGAGATATTAAAATATATGGATTAATTAAACACCTCATTTTGAAGAAGGGTATGTGCCTGAGGAAAGTGCCACTAATCATCTAGAACGATCTTGCCCCATAAACAAACATCCTTACCTTTGAAATCAGGAATGGAGTCGTGCCTGTGTCCCCCTCGCTCCATGAATTAAATCAGAAGAGGCTAGAGGGATAGTGAACTGCGTCATCATTAGTATTCATCGGATTGCATTTTCAAAGCATCATTGTATTGCACATTTAGCTTGTGCCTGTCACTGTGCCAAATACTTTACATGCAAGTTCTCGTTCAGTTTTCACAACCCTGCGAGGTAGACATGATTCTCATCCGGAGTTGACAGAGACAGAAAGGAAGTCTTGAGAGCGGTCACGCAGCCAACCTGGTGAGGAAGAATTAAAACCCGGGTATTCCTTGAATTCAGTTCTTGAATCACTGTGTGCATTGCCAGTTGCCCCTAAAACCCTTTTAAAGGCACAGCTGTAATTGAGATAGTGTCTGCAAGGGTATTGAACTGGATGGTCCGGAAGGACCACTACGTTCTGTTCTGTGATTCTAAGGACACTACATTTAAAGAGCGCCACTGTTTACTTGAAGTGAATCTGTGATTGGCTTTGTCTTTCCCTTCAAATGCTTGCAGTTGCAATCTGGTGGTTCTTATGCAGTTTAGGAGAATGTGCTCTCCATTCCACAGGCTGGTCATTTGGGAGGACACAAAGTTCTAGAAGACATAGTCCTTGTCCCTAAGGAACTTAGGTTGGGTGCACACACACCCCCAGCAATGGGCATCATGTGATGTAGGAAGAAAGGGTTCTGGGGTCTGAGGCCGGAGAGATATAGGCATTTGCAAGAAGAAAATCCTTCCATCATAGAGGTTTCCAGGTAGAGGGAGGTTGGATGGAGTGGCAGGTAGTCCCTGGCTTTGGCAGGTATGACCACAGAGTTCTCCTCTCTTGCAAGGGAACCCATGAGCTTGGACAGAGAGGAAGTTCTGTTCTTTCACAGGGACCTGCCTGGCATGCAGTTGAGGTCAGAAAGGAGTAGGGCTAGTCCTAGTACAGGTCCCATTTGTTTGCCCTAAAGCCTGGCAGCACCTAAAGCTTCCAATTCCCTACCACCCCCCCCCCCCCCCCCCCACCCCCATGATATAGTTTTGACTGAACAGGAAAAAACTAGTTGGCTAGGCTCAGGTGTGCAACATAATACTGGGAGAGGTGTTGGTAGCCAGAACACAGGGGGATAGAACCTTTTGTTGGAATCGCCTTCATATGTATATCTAAGAAGATGGAGACTTAATTTTTAAATCTTATGCTCAGTGAACTCCATTATTGCCCAAATGCTGTCTTCCTCTTTTGTTGCAAAGTAGAGAAAGAAGGTTTTCCCCACATCTCCCCTTAGTCCTGCTTAGAACATGGCTGTGGGATTTGTGCTTCTTTACTGTAAACAGATCATGTCATCTGGACAGCTTCTGCTTAAGAGTAAAAATAACATTACTAATAAACCACTGTAATAGATAATAAATAACAAACTTATGTGCTAGGTTATGTGCTAAGGCTTTTCCTGGGTTCCTTAAGAACTAGGACTTGATTCCTCATCAGAACTCATGGCTCTTTACCTCTGTGCTTGCCTGTGTGCAATGTGGTCCTCATGGCTGAACACAGGAACCACCCACAACACCCAGGAAGCAGGCCCAAGATGCTTGGGTCCTGAGTCCAGACCCACTGTGAATGAATCAGGGCCTACTGAGAGATTTCCTAGGATTGGGGAATCTGAGTGAATGGGAAGCATCCTGGGAGATGCTTGACTCGGGGCTAACTGCTGCTGGTTCTGATGCCCACCACTAGCCCTTTCTTCTCCCATGTGCTGCTTCTCATGGCCGATGGTGGTCCTCCTCCCGTGGTACTTGATCAGTCCTTCCACCCCTGAGTGATCATCTTCCCTTCTCTGGGCTGTGGGTGGTTCTCCCCACTGGCCCTGGTGTTTTTTCACACTCACTTTAAACTGTCTGGAGCTGGTCTGCTTTCTTTCATGTCAGCGGGTATGTATCTTTCCAACCAAAGAGAAAACTTCTGGAAGGCAGCAACAGCCTTGCCTCCAAAGGTCTCCACTTTGTCCGTGTCTGTCTCTTTCCCTCCTTTCCTCTCCTTTTCTCTTTTCCCTCCCCACCTCAGCACACAGTGTGGGAGCTTCCTTGTTCCTTATTTCTCAAGTTGTCCTGAGCAAATGTTCTTCTTAAGGAATCCTTAGTGCCTGTCCATGAGGTGCCAGCACTGGCCATGAGGTAGCAGCCCTTCACCCTGGCCCTGGCCTGCCCAGCCCTTCATGGCTGCCCCTTCTGTGGAAGTGCTTCTGGTTTCCAAAGCTCCCTCTGCTTTGGTGGCTTTTAACTTACTTGCTTTGATTGCAAAATGGTAGCATATAACACAAAGCTCCTATAAGCAAAAACACTAGTTGGCTAGGCTCAGGCGTGCAAAATAATACTGGGAGAGGTGTTGGTAGCCAGAACACAGGGCCCCACCTTTTGTTGGAATCGCCTTCATATGTATATCTAAGAAGGTGGAGGCTTAATTTTTAAATCTTATGCTCAGTGAACTCCATTATTGCCCAAATGCTGTCTTCCTCTTTTGTTGTAAAGTAGAGAAAGAGGGTTTTCCCCACATCTCCCCTTAGTCCTGCTTAGAACATGGCTGTGGGATTTGTGCTTCTTTACTGTAAACAGATCATGTCATCTGGACATGATCTCCCCTTTCTCCAAGAGGCCAGTTATACATAGGAATTGGTAAACCAGGCTGTTGGAAGCGTTGACTTCTTTTTCTGCAGTTTTTTTCTGGGGCATCTAGAGAGAAGGCCTTATTTTTCTTTCCACACATAACCACAAAAAAGTTAAAAGCACTTTTTAAAAGACGCTTTCCCCCTCAATTACCTGTGGTAAGAAATGCTGTTCCTATATTACATTCCTTCCTCACCCATTTAAAAAAAAAAAAAAATGGACAGGAAGAGAACCAGTAAAGAGAACTAACTGCTTAGTGATCCCTGAACTCAACAGGCGCTAGTGGGCAGCACTAGAACCTTCCTTCTTTTCTTTTAATGCAATTCCTTTTCCTTGATGTTAATGCAAGTTGTGCCTTCCTAAAAGTAATAAAAGGAAATGAAGACACGTTCTGAAATGAAACTTGACTCTAATCCATTCATCATCTAATACTTGCCTCTTTATCTTCGCTGGTACCTAATCTGGTTAAATGTCCCTGTTGTAGGATTTTAGTGAAAATCCTCTATGGGGAATAGGGTTTTTTGCAATTGGATTACTCTCCGTAAATGGCCCAGTAGTTCGCTTGTTTCAGCTTAATTTTTTCTTTGTGATCTTGCTGGGCTAAGTTATAGCACAGTGTAGTGGAGTGGGGAGGGGTGGACTGAGCAGGAGGTGGGGGAAAGAGGAGGAGAATAATTTGGGAAAGCCTGGGCTGGCAACTAGAAACATTTTTTAAATGCTTTTCTTCCCCCCACCCCGCCCTCTGCTTCTCTCCACTGACCCACCCTTCCCAAACATAAAAATGCCTGTACTTTGTTTTCTAGAACTGCCCATTTCTAAAATGCGTACCTTTTATTAGCCCAATTCGTCATCATCCAGTTAATGTATTAGCATTCCCGGATGACTTTCTAATGAAATTCCTAATGAATCAGGGCTGCTGTAATCTGCATAGAATATGCAGGTGATTGCCAGGCAGTTTAGAGCTTTCTGGTAAAGTTCACACTCCCACCCAAACCACGAGTGGGGCTTTGCGTCCATACTGTCTGAGAAGGACTGTAGCATGCCGGCTGTTTCTAAGGGCAGGGAGGGGATAGGAGCTGTCGGGGGCGGGGGGCGGGGCGGTGGCTAAGGAGGCTGGCTGGGTGGGATTTGGGCCCGGCGGGTTTCTTTTAAGTGGTGGTTTTCCTAGATGGTCCCCTGTGCAGCCTGCCTGCCTCCTGGAGGTGGGGCCTTGGGGTAGGAGGTCCCCACCACATGCGGAAACGCAGTAGGCATGGTAGATTAAAGTCCCCGCTTCCAACTGCTTCCAACTCACCTGCGGACGGGAAAAGTGCAGACTCTTGGGCTCCATAATGGGGTAGGGATGGAGAAGGTATTTTAAAAGCCAGGCTTAGTGGGGAAATAAAAACTACAGCAGACCCACCCAGAGAGCTGTCTTACAACTATCTATTTATTCGGACTCGGGGGAGTATGGGACGGGCAGCGTTGAGTGCATCTTAGAAAATCCAGGTGGGAGGCTGCAGTCAGGGGAACCCACGGGCCCGGTGCTCTGAAGACCTGGGCTGCCGGAACCGGCTTGATGGTGTCTTTCTCTGTTCTCCTCCCCACAGTCGAACAAAGTGCCAGTGGTGCAGCACCCTCACCATGTCCACCCCCTCACGCCTCTTATCACGTACAGCAATGAACACTTCACGCCGGGAAACCCACCTCCACACTTACCAGCCGACGTAGACCCCAAAACAGGTAGGCTGTGGGCTTGGGAGCCAAGGGAGAGCGCTGGTCCTGGGGTTCTGGGGGAATCTGTTTAGGCCTCCACAGGAACCCCAGGGGCGGAGCAGGAGGGGACTGGGTGGGAACGGTGGTGGGGGTCCCCTGTTGCTTTCCTGGGTGTTGAAAAGGAAGCTCTTTGGGGTGATTGAGGCCTGGTGTGGGAGTGGTTTTCCACTCCCTTTGGAGAAGCTCATTTGCAGTGTTCAATATCTCTTCATGGCTTCCAGTGCCCCTGAAGGGGCTGTCTTGGGAACCCAGCTCTGAGTCCTCAGTATGTTTCAGGAGTGGCTTTTAACTCTAAGAGCCTCAGACAGACCTGGATGCAGGAATCATATGGAAGGCATTTCTTGGGTCCCTCCTCAGCTTCCTGGGAAGATGTGACAGCATGACTTTCCAAACCTCAGCTCCCTCGCTGGCTAAGAGGCCTCAGTCACTACTTGACAATGGCTTGTTGGTATAGCCTCAAAAAGCCACATCACTGGATTCTGCGTTTTCTTCGCTAATTTCTTTAACTTCTTTGTCCCCTACAATAGTCTAGGTATTGCTGAGCCCATTTTACAGATGTGAATACTGAAGCCCAGGCAGGTTGCTTCATTTCTTCTTAGAACAACCAGTGGGTGTCTGGGAGAAGTTGCCATGCCATGCCATCCCTGTTGTTGTTGTTGTTTTGAAACAGAGTCTTGCTCTGACATTCAGGCTGGAGTGCCATGGAGCCATTTTGGCTCCCTGTGACCTCTGCCTCCCAGTTTTAAACAATTCGCCTGCCTGAGCCTCCCAAGTAGCTGGGACTACAGGCATGTGCCACCATACTCAGCTAATTTTTGTATTTTTAGTAGAGACAGGGTTTCACCATGTTGGCCAGTCTCGAATTTTTGAGTGCCTCGGCCTCCCAAAGTGCTGGGATTACAGGCATGAGCCACCACACCCAGCCCAGCATCCCCTTTTTATCCCAGTTGTTCACTGACTGCTTTTTTCCCAAAGGGGAGAAGGAGAGAAGGTGGGGTTACTTTTAGTTCTCCTTCAACAAGATCTAAATCAGGCAGGCAGCCCCAGCTCCTGGTGGGGTGGTCTTGGGAGAACAGGTAAGCTTAGTGTGTGTCTTTCAGGCTACCCAGTATGTTGGTAGGAGTTTCCCTTCCCAGCTCAGTAATTGGAAGGATGGGTTTAAGTCGGTGATCACGCATCACTTCGTTAGAGGGGATTGGTAGTGCTGGGGTAGGTAGAGGGGATTGGTAGTGCTGGGGTAGGTAGAGGGGATTGGTAGTGCTGGGGTAGGTAGTAGAGGGGATTGGTAGTGCTGGGGTAGGTAGAGGGGATTGGTAGTGCTGGGGTAGGTAGAGGGGATTGGTAGTGCTGGGGTAGGTAGGCTGCCTGGTTAGGCTGCCTGGTTAGGCAGCCTTCACTGCCCCTGAAAGAAGCCACACATGAGCTGGGTTTTACTGGTGTCTGAGCCCCTTTGTGCTGGTGCAGGACTGAGCCTGGTGCTTGGATGCCTGGCGGCCTCCTCCAGCCAGCCCCAGGCTCCACCAGTGAATGGCAGCGTCAACGTCTCATTTAAATAATGGTAGTACAGGGAATAGCTTTTAAATGGTTATCGTAAAACATATGATTAACGTCTGTGGACTGTTTACTTTTCCTCTGCGAACATTCTTTCAAGTGTGCAAATGGCTCGGTGTAGGGTCCAAGCCCAGCTAATCTGTTTGGTTTTTGTAATAGAGAGAAAGCAATGTCTGCATGAAAATGTCACCCAGGGAGACTTAATTTACAGATTAAAAGCTTCCTGAATGAATTTTTTAAAAAATGAAGTCGTTTTCATCCACGAACATGCAGTCCGTTCCCTCCTTTACTCTGTTTTAATTCTGTGGTATTGTGCCTTTTGCCTCCCACTTCAACGGCACAGATCAGTTCTTCTCTGTCAGAGTCGACTGCAGAATGTGCTCCTGTGGAACTGGCAGGCATGCGGTGGCACGTACTTGCAGAATCCCCTCATGTGTGCCTTGTGAAGCTCTTAGCCCCTGCAACGCACAAGGTGCCCATTCAGCAGATGGGCTTAATCCCCACAGGTGACTCTGTCCCCTAGCGGATGAAGTTCCAGAATGGAGTACACAAGCCTCCAACACCTCCTTGTCTGTTCAGCTCTGGTTCTACCTTGGGTAGGATGCCACATGGCATTTGATCAGTTTCTCCAGCTCATCCAAATAGAGGCAGAGACATTTTAGAGGAGTCACCGTTTTTGAAAAAAAAGCAAGGGTAGTAACCTTTTGAATGCCACAGCTCAAAAAGCCTGTTAGAAATCAGAGGAGTAACTTTCGTGCAGGTAAGGCATGAGACTCCGCAGGGCGAAGGGCCCGTGTTGTAAGAGCAACAAGGATTACCATTGCTTCATTCCCCACCAGCTGCCGAGCCTTTTTGAGGTTGTTTCTTTTAAACTTGAAACAATCACACCAGTCACGTGAGGCAGAAAGACCCAAGATGGCATATATCTGAGTCTACCCACTATCCCAGTCCATTTAGAAGGAGATAAACTAATTTTTCAAACTGAGGCTAAGGGAAAATGAGATGAAACCTACCAACAACTCTTAGGATTTATAATCACAAATGAACCTCGTGTTAGGATTCCAGAAGAGATGCCTCTCTTCCTCCTCTTTCCCTGTTCCCATCCCCTAATGAGTTGCTCTTTCCTTCTCTCCCTCCTTTGTACCTAAAATGCTGCTTCTTCCTTCAGGAATCCCACGGCCTCCGCACCCTCCAGATATATCCCCGTATTACCCGCTATCGCCTGGCACCGTAGGACAAATCCCCCATCCGCTAGGATGGTTAGTACCACAGTAAGGAGTTCCATTTTTTAATTTCCTTTTTGTTTCTTACACGGGCATGCTTATTATTTATTCTGTGCGTGTGTGTGTGTGTGTGTGTGTGTGTGTGTGTATGTGTGTGTTAGAAGCCAGGGTTGGGGAGGGGGCTGTGGGAGGGCACAGGAAAGGTGTTGCTGAGGTGTCCTGTGGGAATACAGGCAAATCCATAGCCATTCAGATGGATTCTGTAGGAAAAGAGTTATTGGCACTTAGCATTTCGAGACCATGGTCCCCAAAGTCTCTGTGGACAGAGGTGCCCTGAAGATCCTTTGGGAATTGCGGAAGACTCCTGGGACTTCCACCCAATGAAGCTGATCATGGCCTTTCTGCTGTTGGCTGCCCAAACTGCAATCACGTCATTGGGTTGAGGCTGCCGAGTCCTCCCTTTTAGGTGTTACATATTTGAGGGCACAGAAGCGGGAACAAGAACTGCCTTGTTTTGAAATCCGGGGTTGGGATTAGGGCATGTTCTCGTATGATTCCAGGACACCCCACCTCATGCTGAGCATTACTCCCAAGTTGACAACAGCAGTGGAAAGTTTTGTCTGTTGAGAAGCTCCTTGGGACTGAATCAGCATCTCTCTGAGAGTCTTTGCACGTGAATGACTGTGAACAGTGGGAATGGGGCAGTTGGAACTGTCACTGTAGCATGTGGGGCCTTCGTAAGCATCAGTCCTAGTTCCTGGCAGTGCCAGATTATTTGACTGTCTTTTGCAACTTAAAAAAACTGTGTTTTAAATTCAGAGTAGAAAGGCCTTTGATGCATTAGCATACTGTGGCGGGTTGTGTATATGTGTGTTTTTGCATGAGCACGTGTGTAATATGTGTTTCGTGATTGTTTCTTTGGATATATTTCTCCTTGTTTGTCAGTGATCTGAACAACACAGGACAATACATTGAATGCCAAAAGGAATAAATCCTGGTAAAACTCAGGTTTGAGTCTTAGGGAAGACGGCCTTACAAAGCCTTAAGGAAGATAACATTTTGGAGTGGCTTACCCCACAATTCTACCTGTATTTTTTTTTTCTTTTTTTGGTTTGTTTGTTTTTTTAAAAAAAAACAGATTGCATTATGTAGTAGCTATACCAAATACCAACCCCGGGTGTAGTTTCTGTTTCTTTGTCTCACCTTATTTTTATTGGGAGGGTAGAGAGGAACATGAGCTTGTGACCCATTTCTTCTAAATAGATGGGGCCAACCCTCAAATAGTTCTCAGTGATCATTTGCCCCATTCAGCTGATGGGGAGATATTTGAAGGCTAGATAAAAAGGAATAGCCAACTCAGACAACCCTCTGTCAGAAAAAGTTGTGTGTCTTTCATGAGGATGCTATTTTGCATGTTGCTGTATTTTTTAATTATTGTAATGAGGTGTGATTGTCTATTGGTTACCCACAATTCTTCTTGGGGACTCTCCCCCCGGTAACTCTTGTCAACACTTGTTAATTTGACAAAAGGCTACAAATTAAGCTCTGTTAATTTAATGTTTTCTCACCGAGATCTAAATACCGAAAGAGGCCCAAAGCGCAACTGAAGTCCTTTGATTCACTGTACTTTATTTTGGTATAAATTTACATTCATTATTGTTTTCCTTTGGATGTGTAGCCCTCAATTAGTGTGATGGCTCCATTAAAGCAAGCGAGACTTCGCCTTTAATTATTACAACAAAACACCTAGTTTCAGCTTGGGGAGAGGGTCTCTATTGACATAAGCAGAGGTTATAAAATTTAATTAGCCATTCCTATCAGATTTATGGCATTCAAATTGTTCTGTGTTTCTTCCCTTTGATCCTTCCTGTACAATCCCCAAGATTTTTGTTCTGATCAAATGAGAATAAAGCTTACTGTGCAGAGAGAACTTTTCCCTTTTCTTCTTTTTCTTGTCCCCACCCCCACCCTTGTTTCAAGTCTCTTACTTTGTACCCCTTCTTTGTAGGCAAGGTCAACCAGTGTACCCAATCACGACAGGAGGATTCAGACACCCCTACCCCACAGCTCTGACTGTCAATGCGTCCATGTCCAGGTGAGTTCCAAGAACCAGGGCCTTCCTCCAGGGCCATGGGTGACTTCTCAGGAAGTTCTCTAGATAGCCACCAGGCCACCCAGGGACCACGGCTACATGTAGTTCTATTAGTGTAAAGCCAATGTGACATTAGATTGTACTCCCAGAAAATCCTAAAAAATTGCCCTGAAATTCCAAGGTAAGTGATGTGTTTCTGGGTAAAATTTTTGAGTCGCTCAGTTGAACAATGTATTTTAAAGAATTAAGAAGGCAAGGGAGAAACAGGACCGAAGCTTTTTGAAATGCCATTTCTCTGTTGTCCTGTCCTCGGCAGGAAAGGTAGCGGTGAAGGTAGTTTTATTATTATACCAAGAAGAGTTCGAATAAAGATTACTGGTGTTTTCAAAGCGCAGACTCTGATTCCAAGTCAACAAGCAAGCATCCACCTCCTCCCCTCGAAGGTAGCACTGTCCAGTAGAAGTATAGTGTGAGCCACAGAGGGAATTTTAAATTTCGTAGTAGCCGCGTTTTTAAAAAAGGTTTTTTTTTAAAAAAAGATAAAATTATTTTTAATGACATGTTTTTATTCAATGCAATATAGCCAAAATATTATCATTTTAACATGCTATCCCTGGACAACAACTATTAATAAGATGTTATGTTCTTTTTTTGTACTGAGCTTTGGTACAAAATCTGATGTGTATCTTATACACACAGCACTTCTCAGTTTAGACTGGCCACATTTCAAATATTCAATAGCCACTCGTGGTTGGTGCGTATCATAGTGGTCTGTGCAGCTCTAAGTCTTTGAAAGTTAAAAAAAAATCATGTGTGTGTGTGCTGTACGTTCATATGTATTTATATTTCAGCATAGAAATATATTTACAAGATACACTCCTATCCCCATGTTCTTCTTTTCCTCCCTCTGATTAATTCTGGCTAATTTTTCAGTGACTGCTAGTTTATTTACAAACTGGTTGGCAGCAGTATGTTTAAGTAGTCGCTAATTGTTTCTAATGATAGTTTTATTTTCTGTTCATCTGATTTTCAGTCAAGTTAATTAAATCGGTGGAGGTTTAGACTTTGCTGATGGTCTGAAATCACCAACCCATTCTAATGATGGCACATAATGAAATTAGCATGCATTACATGGCAGGGATGCTGTCCCCAGCTTCTTTCCCCAATCCCTGCGGCCAACATGTCAAGCCAAGACCAGAGAAGGGCCTGGAAAGACAGGTCAAGATGCTGCTTTTCCTACTTACAAAACAGTAATTTTGGCAGTGACAGAGAGTTACATTCATTAAGAAAAACAAACTGTGGCATATCTAGCATCGGTAACTATGCCATGGATATTGCAGTTGAAAAGACCCATTTTCTACCTGCGATAGATCATCAAAATTTCAAAATCCATGCCAGTATTAGTTAGGCAGGAAAACGCTCGTGTGTTCTCTGGCCTGGAGAGAAGGGGAAGCATACACTTAGTAAATAGTGTCATCACAGCTTCACAAAGCATGGGAATGAATAGGGGGTCTCCCAGGTGGAGAACACTCAGGGACCATGGCCACACGTAGTTCTATTAGTGTAGCAGCTTATAGTCCACAGCTCCTCTTCCCACCTTGCCAGCATATGTATATTGCACCTGGTTCTTTTTCATGTTTGTTTATTTGGTGCATTCAGGAGGTTAAAAGTGGTAAAGTAATTGTAGGATAGGGATTGGGGTTAAGCTGATCGATTGAGTTATCATTAGGAGGTTAGTCGATGATTTATAGGTGGGCAGGGGGTGGAGGAAAGGAAGGGAACGTCAGGAAGAAAGGTTAGGGCCTCAAGGTGCGGGGAGAGGCGGCCGATTCCCCAGGTAGGCCAAATGAAAGTTAGCTAGTTAAAAAGCGTATACAGCAAATTAAATACATTATTGTGGTAATGGGGCGACAGAAGTATAGGTCTATTATACTTATGGCAGTTATAGCAAATGTAGGCAGCTTGCCCTGTTCCAGAACATCCTTTGATATTCATTCTATTCGGCAGTGGGGCCAGGACTTCTCAGAATTAAGTGATGGGTCATTATACTTTAAACACCATGGAGAAGCCTAGATTGGCAATTAAACAGCTCTTGCTGACACTCACTTGTGCCACCCTGTGACCCCCTTTAGATTGAGATGTTGGAGCTCCGGGCCCTCAGCCCGCTAAATTGGTGCAAGGCTCTTCTCCTGACGAGAGCCGGCTCTGAAATCTGCCGGCTTCAAAGGGAGCGAGATCATGTATAAACCATAATGTGGGTGCACCGTGGCTCACAAAAAATAAGGCAGGAAGAGATGAAATGTTACAAGTGCAAGGGGGAAAATGAGAGAATAATGACAAACCTAATGCAACTCAAAGCAGGATTGTTGCACAGGAAAATGCATCCTACTGCTTGTGCATAAAATCAAGGCCGGCAGATGACATCCGGTTAACAGAAACGTGTCAACAGTGAAGTAAAGTGAGAGTGAGTAAGAGAGAAGCCCCTGAGACAGCCAGAAACAAAAATTAGTTGTTCTTAACAAGTTAAGGTTCATCATTATATTCTGGCTTGGAGCCATGAAAGCAGACGGGGGTATATAATGAGCTGCTTAGAATTTTTAGGGTGTTTATTGCATTTCATGAAATAGTTGTCTGCAGAAAGGAATTTCTTAAGCGAAGGTATGTGTATACAGCCCACATCCATGTTCATACCCGGTCTCTTTCTGTGCTGAACATTTTTCAGATACGGGAATATACGTGTAGGTATGGGAACTTAGAAATGTGTCTTCTTCGTGGCAGCATTGGAAGTTTGCACCCCAAAATGTGCTCAGATTGTGGCGTCTTCCCGTGGTATTTGGTGTATGTACACACACGTACACATACACACTCACACACACAGCCTTGTTCTGTCTCCCCCTCCCTCTCCCTCGCACGTCTGTACACATATTCTCAGTCTGCACGAAGGGAACATATGTATTTGAGGAATGTCAGGCCTTTAAAATTCACAGTAAAAGCTGCCACCCACCACTTCACCCAAGGGTTTCCAAGAACACATGTTCTTAGCTTCTGTTTCCTCTGAGGCCTTCGAGCAGTGGGAAGGAACAGGGTGTCACTTGGAGCCCAAGTGTCTCCCAAGGGCTCTGCTTTTTTTTGTTTTTCACATTATTTTGAGGGGAAGGGGATGAAGGTTGTTAGCTTGTTTGTTTCCTTACATTTTCCTTCTCTCTCTTACTTTTTTGATACATTCAAAGGACTCTATGGTTGTTATTTTTAAAGTCATGTCATACAGTCTGCACCACTGGCTTAAATGTGTAAAGGCAGTGGCAGGAGAGGCCACATCAGATCGGGGTGGGATTTTTGAGTGAAATGTCTACCGTGGCTTAGGCCTTCTTCAAGAATCAGCATTGTTCATTAACTTTCCCTCCTCTGTTGATCTGTGTAGATTCAGTTAGTACTTTAATCATTTTATTATTTTTCACATTAACGTTTGTTACCTCATTTTGGCTGAATGGAAACTATCTCTAGCCTGCTTCTGGAAGAAACTTTGTAAATAAATACGGAATCCTTTTGAGAGAATTGTCGTGATAGATCCTCATTAGGCAGGCCGTCTAGTTCCCACCAGAATTGGCTTTGTGAAGAGCAGGTTATTATTCCTTGGGTCGTACGTTGGACTGTTTTGGTTTGGACTTATTAAGAAAGCAACAGTTGCCATGATCTTCATCTGAACAGCTTCCCATCTGCTCCCTTGAATCACCTTGCCAGGTTGGAGCAGGAGGCTGCCATTTTGTTTTCTTTCGGGATTCTGCCCTCTCCCTCACTACTTTTTTCTATAGTAGGATATGTTGCTTGAAGAGGGGCGAGTCTTCCAACCCAGTACAAATCATGGTGACACAATGCAAAAGAGAAAATGAGAAAGGTGTTTGATCCAGTTGTCAGTTTGCAGATGGGCCAAGAATAGGTTGAAATTAGCTCTGTGTGTCCTGGCTAATGTACTTGGTTGGGAAATGCCAATTAAGGCCCTAAAATGTGTCTTAGAGAACTGTCCAAAAAATGAGCAGCATGAGAGGAGAGAAAATAAACGGTATCTTTCATTTATAATTTTGATAATCATTTAGGAGACTTCTTAATGATGCATAGACAACATATGAAGTAAAAGTGATATAGGAATCCTAAATTTTAGAGGAGAAAGGGCATACAAATCAGAATCAAAGCTTTATTGTGTGTGTGTGTGTGCACCTGTTCTTTCCTTTCCTTTTATTTTTTGCATCTTTCCATAAAGGGATACAAACTTATTTAAAATATCCATGACTTGTGATACGAACCAAATAGGAACTATTTGAATTTTCCCTGTCTTCCTGCCTCACTCTCTCCCATTCCTGTCAAATGATGGGACACAACGCAAAAGAAAAATAAAAATTGTATTGCACTTCATCAACAGGATGAGGCCTAATGAGGCTTGCACAGCATTGTCAAAAATGTATGTATATTTCAACCACGTTAATATTTTATTTAGCTGTCAATATACAACAAAAGATTTCACCTTTCATTTTAGCGCTGATTAGGACTTAGGAAATTGTCGTCTTAGATGCCACTAATAATGCCTCAAAAAATAAGTGGACGTGCGATTTCTGGCAGGTAGTCCAGGCCCACTTTTCCGCCCAAGTACGTCAGTTAAATTTGTTTTTTGCTAAATATGTTAAAAATCATAATGTCTTATGTCAGTAGCAATAATGAAGGGGGAGATTGGCTTTAATGACATTATGAGAATCATTATGTTTAATTTATCGCTAATTAATGCTGACAGGTTTCATATGCCTTGCGTTGCTTTCATGTGAGTGTTACGTGCTGTTTTTTTTTTTTTCTTTTTAATTGTGTGTACACATCCCTCCTCATTCATTCATTTTGATTCTGACGATTTACACAGCTTTCTGTCTTCTAGGTTCCCTCCCCATATGGTCCCACCACATCATACGCTACACACGACGGGCATTCCGCATCCGGCCATAGTCACACCAACAGTCAAACAGGAATCGTCCCAGAGTGACGTCGGCTCACTCCATAGCTCGTAAGTGTTGCTGTTTTTCTCACTTCTTCGTTGCCGCAGTGTTCTGCAAGCCTGTTGCAGCTACTGTGTGGTGGCCTTCTCCCTAAGGTTGGCCTCGTTTGGTTTGACTCCAGCCAATACCCAGGCTGTGTGGGCTCTGCCTCCCTTACAAAGATAGAGAGAGTGCACAGTGGCAGAATCTCACTGCACCACCGCGGGTTAGAACAGAACTGTTTTCTGTGTGTGTACTTGGATACACTGGGATTTGCAACCACTTCCCTGCCCCCTAACCCTGTACTTGAACATTTGGAGCTTTGTTCTGCAAGCAGGAGAAAACCCTGCCGAGGTGAAGACAGCAACCATGTGCTTTCCTCTCTGGCTTGGGAAAATTGTGTATTTGTGAAACTTGAGGAAGTGATTGCAAAATCCCTCCCTTCCCCCAACCCCTCCCCAAGCTATTTTCATTCCATTTTCCGGGGTAGAGAAGACTAAAAACATGGTTTTTCATCCAAAACTGCAAGATTTGGGGGTTAGGAGACAAGGAGATACGCGCTCTGCCATGGAGGAAGTTGGACCACTACCTTGTTTATTGGGTTGTGTCTGTTTTGTCTGTCTCCAGAAAGCATCAGGACTCCAAAAAGGAAGAAGAAAAGAAGAAGCCCCACATAAAGAAACCTCTTAATGCATTCATGTTGTATATGAAGGAAATGAGAGCAAAGGTCGTAGCTGAGTGCACGTTGAAAGAAAGCGCGGCCATCAACCAGATCCTTGGGCGGAGGGTAGGTGATGCCCTTCTCAGGGAGAAGTGGGGGGCAGGTGGTGAGGGACCAGAGTGCAGCAGGTCAGGTGGCAGAATGTCTCTGTCCCCATTTCTGTGGAGAATTCTTGCCCTTCAGCCACATTCTGAGTCCTCGAATGACCTTCATGGAGTCAGAACTAGTTATTCTGCACTCAGATAGCATTCAGAACAGCCACAGCCATACTCTTCCCCCACCCGAGAGAGTGAGTAAATGACAGAATGACATAGATAACAAATCAAGTTTTGTCTACATATTCCTGTTAGTGCCAGGACCCAGCAAACAGTCAGTATGTACCGATTATACCATTTATGGATAGACTCAACCAAAAAAACAGCAGCATTTATTCCCTGACCTTGGCTTAGTGTGTGATGTTCTTTCATGCTTTTCTGTTTGTTCATGTCTTTCTCGTCTGCACCCCACATCCCCTCCAGTGGCACGCACTGTCCAGAGAAGAGCAAGCGAAATACTATGAGCTGGCCCGGAAGGAGCGACAGCTTCATATGCAGCTGTACCCCGGCTGGTCCGCGCGGGATAACTATGTAGGTGGATCGTTTTCCTTAGGATAAGAGTCTGTAGAGCTGTGTTGTGCATCTGTATGGACAAAGAAAACAGGACCTGCCACTTGACTGGGGTGGGCCTCAGGAGCGTCCAGTCTGCCCACTTTGAGGACCAGTAGCATCTTCCCGGATCACTAAACTGCAGGGAGGGGCTTCCAGTATGGATGGTTCGATCAGCTCGCAGTCATTCTTCGGGGTGGAGAGAGGAGGCTGCAGTCCCATTGTTCCAGCTCAGGACCAATGAGGTTGATTTGGTGCTTGTCTGCTTCCTAGAGGAGGCAAGGTTCTAGGATACACCCAGAGGACCTTATGTTCTGAATTAGGTTCCTCAGGCTCCTCAGCAGTGATCAGTGGTGTGGCCTAGGGAAGACCCGTGGGTAGGTGTGGAGGAACAGAATTTAATTCCTCCCAGGTCTTTCAGCAGGCCCTTTACCCTTAAGAAGGAAAAACAAAACTATTGCTTTGTGCCATGGTGCAGTAGAAGTTAGAAGCCTATTTCATCCTGAGAACAGCATGATGGGAATATCCCTGAAAGCAGCCAGAGGAAGTCAGCCTTTGGCAGGATGCATGGACTGACTCTGGGCCCAGCAGGGGCAGGGAAAAGTGTACTATGTGGTGTGTGTGATCCTGGGCTCTGTGTTGGCTACAGGATCTGCCTAGTCCTCTCTTGGGTTGTAGGAAACACCATGGTATGATTGTTTTTACTAATTGCAGTGGTTGTGACCCCACGATTCCTCTCCTCCCATGAGCACACTGTCTTCCAGAGACTTCTGTCCACTCTTGGGGGAAAACCAAAACTTGTCTTAAGGCCGGCACAGGCCTCTCATCCCCTTCCTGTCAATGTCTTAGAATCGTGGATAGTTACTTTTCCAGTTACTTTTGACTCTCCCACTGCCATCATCCGCGGTGAAGCAGCTCTACGTTTGGGGGTTGAGGTCATTAAATTATTACTGAACTGAGTGTGCACTTACTGTGCACAAGTTATTACAGGGATTCAGAGTTAAGTCGGACATCTTTACTCCCTCAGAACTTAGCATCCGCCAGGAGATCGCAAACATCTGCGGGCCTATGTGATCCTGAGGAGGAGCTGCTTCTGCCTGCTCTGATGAGTGATTTCAGGCCTCCTTCCTCTTTCTTCTCATACTTTTAAACCCGTGCTTGCAGTGCAGACGAGGGAGAAGGGAGGTGCCCCTGGCCATCTTTCTCGAGGCCCTGCCCCCCTAACTGGCAGCGCTAGACTGTGCTCCTCCTGGGAATTGAATCAGGAAGGAGTGCTGGCACCTCTTGGATGGCGCGTGTGTTCTACTGAGAGAGCCCTTGTCGCTGACAGATGGGCTTGCACAGGGTCTCCACTGCTTGGGACCTTTCTGTTTGTCCCCAGCATGTGTGCAGTGGGGAAGCCTTTCTTCTGGAGCTGAAAGGAAGAGGATGAGAAAGTGAATGCTCTCCCACAGGCTTGCTGTTCACCCCCACCTGACCCTGAGGTGGAGATTTCCAGCAGCAGGCAGGCTCCATAGCCTCCACATACACAACCATATCATTTCAGGAAAGCTGCTCTCCTGTTTTCAGGTCAGAAGTTCTTAGAGTTCATCTTGAGCTTCTACCTGCTACAGACCCAATTCTTTGAGTAATCTAGAATGATACCACAGAGCGGAATTCAGCTTCTCTGTAGAGATCATATCCCCGATAGACATTTTGGGTCATAGTAGGGCCTTCATGTACAGCTGTGCAGGGCGTGCACTGCACAACTCTAGAGTATGTCATTTACACTGGGGTCTATGTGAATGGTGCCCCCTGGAGTTGTGCAGGGTGAAATGTCTACAAAGGTACAAGGCAGACTGTGATAGCTTCAAAAGAATACCGTGTTTCACTTGCCTCAGAGTCGTTTAAAGTATTGCTCGAGGCTTTTTGTGACATACTTTCTGGGTTTCAGAAGGGCTGTGAGGCACTCAAAATGGCTTTAGCTCAGTTTTAAATTTGGAAGATGGTTTGGTATAATAAGGGAACTCCTGAGACGATTTGAGGTTTAGAGATCTGGATTTAGGGCTCTAGGAACTTTATCTCTTGTAAGAGGCACTTAGATTCCTATTACAATGACTCATTACACATGGGTGTGAACACACACACTCACACTCACTCCTTCCTTTTATGCACTAGGGAACACTGGGACTAAGAACCGCAGCATTGAAGCTTTTATGGGTTTGAATGTGGTAGCAACTTATTAGTATTTTTTTTTTTTTTTAAACTAACTTGACATGGGAGTTTCCATAAATTACTTTGGTCATTGTAAACTCCAAAAGGTTCTTCTGGAAAATATTTCCTGAGCTCGCCTCATGCCTCTTTCACATTCCTGCTTTTCCAGCCAACTGGTAATGGAAGACTTTATGTCTCTACCTTAGGAAAACAGAATTGAGTGAAAACAGCCACATTTGGGTTGTCAGACTTGGCACATTCTCTAGAGACCAAGAGAAAAAAATCTTGAGTCCCACAGTAGTATCTAACCCCTGGGGTTATATTTGACATTGTTTCCTTTCTAACCCTCTACACTAGGTAAAGGATAGAGGTCCCATGCCATTTGCTCACCTGAGTTTCTTTTCTTCCACCCCTATATTAGGCCCTTTCTTTCTTCTGTTACATTTAAGGGGGTAGTAGGGTGGCCACCTCCCTGGAGACGCATCTTCCTCTTCACTAAGCTTAGGGTTTATCTACTTTCTCATGTCTTCTTTTTATTAAAACACAGTCCCTGTCCTCCGGAAGTCTCTGGTCTAAATGAGAACTTCTTCAGTAGTCACCATCTCTATGCTATATCCTAAAGGGACAGCTTCCTTGTGGGTAGAGGAATTTCCAGATGCCTCCACAGTATATTGCAAGGAACTGGAAATGGAGATGCTTTTTCACACGTGGCTGAGAAGCCCTTGTCTCTGGGGATGCTGATACTCCATGAAGTTAACACATTTCTGTGCCCGGTTTTTTTGAATACTTCAGGCTCCTACATGAACTGAAACTAGGCCCATCTGCCTGTTCCAGGACAGCCAGGTGGCACTTTGCCCCTCACGTGGGAGAGGCGCGGGCATGGAGATGGTCTGTTGCAGGCCCATGAGATGCCAGCTTCATGATAAAGCACGTGAAGTCCTTTTAAAAGAAATTGTACGTGAAGGGACATAGCGCGTTTCAATAAGAGCCCTGAACAGAAGGCCAAAACAAAGCTCCCAAGTGGCACAGGCCCCTTGACCTCATAGAAGAGACAGGCCATTTCTACAACAGATGGCCCTCAGCCCTAGGGTGGAGCCTAAGCTTGGTGGCATCACCGAGCTTGAGGTTCTCCTGACAGAGCCTAATGTGTTCTCGAGTTCCTCCCTTCCTCCCTTCCTCCCTTCCTCCCTTCCTCCCTTCCTCCCT